CGTCTCTGCTGGCTCCGACATAACCATCATTTCTCAGCCCGACCAGGCTTGGGAGCAGAGTGAAGTCCCTGTCCAAGAGGGCTTCTACGGCCTATACTTTGGTGGAAAGACCTACATCGCCTACTCTGCCAACTACTGCTGGACTCCGGACTACTGCGTTGCTCTGCTCGAGTGGGATGGCGTCACGGATCCGGCGTCGCCCTCAGCATGGACGAAGAGCAATGGATGTCAGTTGACTGCCGCCAATGGAAACTTTGGCACTGGCCACAACAGCTTCTTCCGCAGCCCTGATGAGACCGAGACCTACGTCACTTTCCACGCAACCAGCAACGCCAACGGCGCGTGTGATGATAACCGCTACGTCATGGTCCAGCCCATCACTGCCAATGCTGATGGAACGCCCAACTTCGGTGTCCCTCAGGCGTCTACCTACGATTGGCCTGAGCCCAGCGTCTAACATGGATGGACGTACAGATTGGAGAGACAAGTCAAACGTGAATAGCGGATGAATCTCGTGTACCTAGATAATGATGAATGAAACCTAAATGAACAATACATTTCAGAGCGAATCTATGATACCACTGGAGTTCTGTGAATGTGTGTCAAGTCTTGCTTTCCCAGTAGATGAGCTAACAGATCACGATATTATCTCGGTTGTCTTTCTTCTTTTCGTGGTCTGCTTGCGCTCGGAATCGTATAAAGTATCTTCAGGACACTGGGATGAGCCTGGCAAAGTTGTGTCCAGCCCCATGCCTGCTGTTCAGTTCGTGGCATAGGTCAATCCCTCAGCTACTTAGCGACTAGGAGAACCCCATTTTGACATCCCTCATGTTCGTAGGCGTACATACGCAGTGTTCATGTTGATCGACAGACGTCAGTTGGTTATCTTCAATATGGAAGTATTAAATAGAGGATCGGGGTGTACTAAACAAACCGTGTGGTGTAGAACAAGAGAGCTTCTCTCTGTCGCTCGAACTGGTTTGCTCATGAACCATCTGTAGGTCTTTAAGACAATATCCCCGTTTGAATTGCATGGAGTCGGTCTGACTGATGACGAATGAACTAATATTGTCAGATGGGGTACGATTTGTACTTTTGGAGAACACACCGTCTCGAAACCCGCTTGTATTGTGGTGTAAGTGCTCGTTTGAGGCAGGCGATGTCTGCGGTAATCCTTGATGCATCGGAATATGACAATAATCGCGGACGACACGGAGACAATCAAGGTTGCCAAAGCAACGATTCCTTCAAATGATGACGACATTGCTTTTGACAAGTGACGTGTCTTGAGTGGGATAATGATACGAAGGAGAGCCATGGCTTTCTTTAAAGAAATCTTCCTTCTAATATCAACGTTTTCTTCCATTCCCTTTTTTCAGAAAGGTTGAAATCGTCATTGGCGTGCTTTCACGTTTGCCAGAATGGACATCCTACAGAAGAAACAACTTTAAGGCTTCGTCTCCCGACTAGGGTGAGACATACATGACAAGGGCGGATGCCTTCCGCTGGTTAGAGTTTACCGCCATCTTGGAAATGCACGTCGCCGCTTCGAGCACAATTCTAGTTTGACACAGAGGGGTGAGAGCTACGATTGGAAAATCGACATATGCAGGGAGACAGCTGCGAGACGCTCAGAAGAGAAATGGATGTCATAGACAGGAATATGACTTCAAGAGGCGGTACTAGAGGCTGACGTACGCAGTTTTGCTACACCGGTGTGGCCAGACTTTTCTGATCGTACAGCGCAATGGCGCCAGTCAGCCCGAAGGACTTGGAACTTCAATTTCTCCAGACAGTGGATGATTGCGGCAAAGACGTGACACTGAACCTTACGCATTATCTAATGTAATGTGATATACTCTAACGATTTCTTTTTTTCTCCGTTTTCAAATATGTATGTTGTTGTCTGGCCCATCCGAAGGTTGAGTTGACAGTGCAACGCGACGTAGCATCGGAGAATGCAACAGCAGTTTAATCAAACATTGTTGAACTTCAAGCCGCTTTCATAGACCTGAACTGTGCCAAAGTTGCTGCATCAGAAAGTCCACCAGAGGTTCAAGGCTCTCAACGTTCATGTGAAAAGTTTGCCTAGGCAGTGAGTGACATGTACGGAGTAAATTGGCGAAGTGCGGACTTAAATCTTGTCGCCGTACTCCGCCCGCTCGGAACTATGCTGGGCACCCGTTGTCCGTTTTAAACTGGCAGTTGTCAATACTCGGCGCTAAAACAACCTTATATCTCTAGCGTCCGCCTTCTCAATATGATTCTCTCCCACACAGAAACATTTGGTTACCGAAGAAGGAAGCACACTCCCGTCATGAAGCAGTTCATCCTCGAGGATTCCCATGTGAGGACCGGATGACAGATAGAATGACGCCAATCGCACCGAGAATAGTGATGCGTCTGAAGATCGTCGGAAGAAACAACGTTTCGGTCACAGTTTCGGCAAGCGGGGGAAATGATCGCATTTAGAATCACGGACGGCAACTCTATTCGGGTGCTCGCTCCAAACAAGAAACCGTGAATGGCTCACAGAGCCGCAAAGTTTCATGCTTAAAACGTCCACGTCACGCAAGGAAATTTCCATACTTTAACAAGAAACCTGATCGCACAGGCCCGTTCGGAGCGCATGTGAAAACCACCATGGGCTCCAGTCCTTTTTCTCATCCTTCTTCCCTTCTCGACGACGCCAGCTGACAGAGGGTCTGGGGAAATTCCAACCGTTAAGCTGATCTTACATTTCTCTTTTAGACCTTGAAGTGCCAAGTCCACTTTTGTGTTTATCGTTGCATAGTATTCGGCTTCCAAGAAATTTGGTATTAGACGATCAAACGCAGCTCCAATGGGCCGTCATGCGACATTTTTCTCGGCCGCCTTCTTGGCCACGGGAGGCTTTTTGTTCGGATTCGATTCCGGCATTATCACGTCCACCATCGCACTCCAGACATTTAAAGACTACTTTCACCCATCTGATGCTATTGCCGGAGGAATAGTATCATCGTTCCAGGGAGGAGCGATCCTTGGGACGATAGTGAACATGCTATTTTCCGACTGGCTGGGACGGCGCAATACGGTGTTTCTTGGCTCAATCATATCTGGTCTGGGATCCGCACTCCAGGCCGGCTCTCGGAATCTGCTCACCCTTATCATCGGGCGGTTCATCGGCGGTGCTGCTGTCGGAATTCTCACATCGACCATCCCGATGTATGCTTCGGAACTATCGGAAGCCAAGCATCGGGGTAAACTCTCAGGTCTCCTGCAATGGATGCTGAGCTGGGGCTTCTTGGTAGCCCAGTGGTTGGGCTACGGGTGCTCGTTCGTGAAGACTGACTTTTCATGTGAGATCCGATGCTAACTTCGGTTTGACGACCTGCTGACTCACCCTAGGGCGCTTCCCTCTGGCGTTCCAATGCATCCCAGGTATCATCTTGGCACTTGGCATATACTTCCTTCAAGAGTCACCTCGCTGGCTCATGGAAAAGGGACGACCTGATGAAGCTCGTCAAGGACTAGACAAGCTACGCATTGGTGTAGATGAGAAGGTCGTTGAGGTTGAATACAACGAAATCCGACTTGCTGTCCGTGAACAATCTGCGCTCAACAAAAACTGGAATCTATGGAAGGAAATTCTCACCCGTCCTTCCTGGCGCAAGCGACTGCTCTTGGGTTGCGCTCTTCAAGCATTTTCTCCATTGTCTGGCATTAACGTCATCAACTATTTCGGCCCTCGCATATACGAACTTCTGGGCATTGGGACCCAGACGTCACTGATGATCATCGGTATAAACGGCGCCCTTGGTATCATCTACAACTCCGTTGGTCTTTGGATGTTGGATCGCGTTGGGCGAGTTAGACCTCTCATCGTGTCTGCTCTCGGATTAGCGGCTGCCCTGTTGGTCAACGCAATCCAATTCCAGTACCTGGACAGGTCTAATGCGGACCAACTGAGGAGTATGGTGGCCATGAACTTCGTGTTTGGCTTCTTCTTCACCCCGCTTGGCATCATCAGCTGGGTGTACCCTGCGGAAATTTTCCCTCTAGAAATTCGGGCCCTTGGAAATGCTCTCACCACCTTCACGAACTGGACCGTCAATCTAATTCTGGTCTCATTTTCACCACAAGCCCTCACGGCTATAGGGTTTAAGTTTTTCTACGTCTTCTTCGTCTTCAACATGATAGCGGCGGTTTGTTATTATTTGTTTTATCCAGAAACACGAGGCAAGACTCTGGAGCAGATGGACGAGCTTTTCGGCGATGGCGTTCTGCCATTCAATCAACAGTCTGCTCCAGCTATTACAGAGTCTACTGATGAAGAGGCTCGGGGCGAAATCATTTCGGCTGGGGCTACAACACAACCCTTGAAAACAACCAAGCGTACGTACACAAAATACAACACCTTTCATTTGGAGGGATAGAAGGGCGGGCTTCGGAGTTCGGGATACAAGGGACGTATTGTCAGACTCACGTAATCTAAAGCACGTTCTCCAACGAAAGATTGAGAGACATACTAGTGATAAACCAACATGAAATTTGCAAGAGTTTCGTTTGCGCTGAGAGCCTGATACTTTGAACACTTTGCCATTGAATGGTGGTAGTCAAAGCCATGGATGGCAGAAGAGCTATGTGATTCTATCTGCTATTGGTTGCCCCTGAATGGTAGCGAACAGATCGTCAATCGGTTACCAACACCGCCGCGGTGTCAACAAGGCGGTGCCTTTTCTTGGCTAGCTTAGCCACCCACCTCCCAGCCTGCTGTGCCGCGTGAGGCACACAAGCATAGGCATTCAGTCCTGCTAACAGGAATATAAATTGACGTGGGTCTTCCCAACATAAGGCATGGCGGTGTTGGTCTCCGCAAACAAACCTGAGTCATCGATTGTTATCGTAGTTGCTCTTTCCAACCGTATTCGACTCCTTGCACCTTCCACCTTATCATCACGGCAATACATACGCGAATTATTGAGATGAATATCGAACACGAGAAAACAAAGACTCTGACAATGGTTGCCAACTCGACATTGTTGAAAGGTAATCATGTCGCCTTGAAAGTTTGTTCCGGGGTCTGACAAAAGCAGAGCCATCTGAGTACCAACAAAGTCGTGCGCGGCTGCGTCGCGCGATTTGCCGGGCCATCTTCTGGCTCATCCTCAATCTCTTTTTTCTAGCAGGGCATATCTACATCCTGTACGGCATCTACTGCAGATACCAGAGTTGGAACCAATTGAGCAGTTCCGACAAGCGGTGGATTTTCCAGCCGTTCTTTACATCGACTATAGTGCTTCTCTATCTCGCAAGCGCCATTTTCGATGTGATGGATATCAGAGAGAAAATATTACGTCAAGCTTCAGCAGAACACTCGTAGAGAAGTGATCCCGTCACCTGATGGCGGCTTCAACATGATCCACGTCGACTATTTGGCCACAATACCACGCAAACACCTACCAAACCAGGGCCCCTGGACGCAGCGTATGCTCAGCTTACGATCCTATGCCAAACACCTGCTCCTGCCTTGCATTCAAAGGATGACACCCCGGGAAGTTCAATACATTATTGGCTATCGATGCCGTGCCGATTATCGTCTGACGCCACCTTAGAGGCTCGTTCGGACTTGGAGATGGGGCGAACCAATCACTATGTTGCACTAGCTTCGGAGATGACTTTTCGTCTGAAGATTACCCTCGGGACCGGGAAGTCTCACGACAGAGACATTGGAGGCCCGTTCTTCATAGACGTCATTTACCTCCTCACATCGTTTTCTAGAAATATTCTGTAGTGCTTCAATTGATCCCGCGGCTGGGTTCGAACCAACCATATCCTTGGCTACTCAGATCCCGTAGTATTGATTTTCCAACATCCCCGATGGCCATTCCAGAAGTCAACGCACCAAACGAAAGCCATCAGAATGGCGGACCTAAAGTCGCAATTGTCGGAGCGGGGTTGACGGGTCTGATCACGGCCCATGGTCTCAAGAAGGTGTGTCGCAGTGCCTATTCCATATTCTTTGAGATTCTCGCGCTGATGATCGGCAGAACGGATTTGAGGTCACGGTCTTCGAGCGCGACGCGAGCATTGATGCGCGTCCCAGAGACTGGACGATTCTGATTCACTGGGGAATGTCGACTTTGACCGAGATGCTCCCCGACCACATAGTCAAGAACTTTCCAAAGGCTTATTGCAATCCTCACCTGCAATTCGATGATTGGGACGAGAGCGTCCTGGGGTACAACGCCCTTACTGGCGAGGTGTTGTTCCGGAACTCCACTCCCGGCGCTCGGCGAGTCAGCCGTCGTCGCTTCCGGGAGGTTCTGGCGGAGGACCTTAACATCCAGTGGGGCAAAGGTCTCAAAGCGCTGGACATCATCGACGACGATTGTGTGCGACTTTCTTTCAATGATAATTCAAATTTCGATGCAAACTATGTTCTGGGAACGGATGGTGCGTCGTCAAAAGTTCGGGAATTCCTGGTGGCCGCCGAAGTTGCCAAACCTGTGCCCTCCGGCTTCATGATCGCCAACTGCAATGTTAAGTACGGAGACGAACAGAAAGTCAATACAATCGTGAAGGCACATTCAGTGTTTGCCTCCATGCTTGGTTCTGGGGTTATGGCTGGTTGTGGTGGTATGTATCGCTTACCATTCTTTCCCGCCGGGGGATTTTAGCTAATTTTGCCTGTGACAGTCATGGCTGTAAACGATCCCAAAGACGTTGCCTCGTGGGAGACGTTCTGGGTCAAAGTCTGGAAAGGAGAGCCCGTGACTCTAGCTGGACAGGAAGCAATTGACTTTGTCAAAAGTGACTTGGAGGGGTTTTGCGAGCCGTTCCGATCCGCGATAGAGTGGACACCGGACGGAAGTCTTTGCTACATTGACGAAATGAAGTATTGGCTGCCGTCAGCCTGGCAAACTCATGACGGAAAAGTCACACTTGCAGGTGACGCAGCCCATCCGATGCTCCCATGTAAGCAAAACCACGCCTGCTTCGCTATTTACCGTGCTGACTCTGTTTCAGTCCGAGGTCAAGGTCTTCAACATGCCATCATCGATTCCGACAAGTATGTGAAAGCTCTAATCCTGCTGAGGAAGACTGGGGACACGGCAATGAGAGAGGAAACCATAACACTGTACGGAGCTGACGTCGTTGCACGTGGCTGTACTGCGGTTGCGCAATCGCTTAGCGAGGCCGAGAAGGCAATGAACAAGGACACCGTCAGCAAAATGCTTATGGTTACCCAAGGACACGGTAGGTCTATTTGAGAAGGATGGTGATCAGAGTACGCGTAATCTAGTTGGGCGAGAAATCTGTTCCACAGGAGTTCGTTTTGATACCAAGAAAGAAGAAGCGATGTCAACTTGAGATCGCAAGGAACTTCCATCAAAAAGTATGAGAATTGGATTTTGAGAATCATCACTCGTTGGGATGAATAAGTGTCAATGATATTACTTTCAGAGGACCATCTTGTCGACTTCGCGTAGTGATCAAAGTACATTGCTCGAGGCAGCTAATTATAGGAGGGCGAGTTTTGTAAGGTTTAATGCAATGCTCAGTCACAAGGTCGTCTTCACTCGGGCGTGTTGTGCTTGGCACAGGTGACCAGCCTCAAGCCCACGAAGGCAAGAGGGCCCAGTCGTCAGCGATGACAATATACAAGATGCTTTGTTATATCTACACAGGAAGACAACGGTCAGAGGTCCCGAGGAGGCTGGCAGCGAAGCCTCGGATGCCAAAGACGAGAAGAAGATAATCAACAACGTGCTCTCAGCTCCTTTGGGCCAATGAAATGTTCAGCATTGCTTCTTGGATCCATCGGTGTAGAAGTAGTCCTCGTTGATCTTGATGGAGTCGGCGTGCCAGGTCTTGCCACCATCAGTGGTCTTGATACCGCTGGAGGAGCCGCCGGTAAGCTGAAGGGTGTCTCCGAAGTTAGAGTCAGCCTCGCTGAGAGTGACCGTAAGGTTGCTCCAGCCTGCAAGTATTTGTTTAGCACAAGTCCACGACACAAGACATCTTCAGGGGTGACTTACTGTAGGCGCCAAGGGTACCGCAGGCGCCGGAGTAGCACTCGTTGCTGGAGTAGATCCAGGTAGGAGCCTTGCCGTTCTTGTCCTCTGCAATTGGTGTCAGAATAAGGTATTTGTGTTACGAAGAGAGGATCTTACTGTCGGTCTGCTGGGAGACGAGGGCGCCGTTGATCCAGACCTTCTGGGTCACACCCTTGGAGGCATCATAGGTGACTGCAGGCATGTTAGTCTTCAATATGGCGCGGATCTGACACTGGAAGGTGGACTGACGCTCAAAGTCAACGTTGGACTTGTTGGGAATGGCGACGTAGCTCTGGGCAACCTGCTCAGCTATGCGAATGTTAGCAACTGTACTGTTAGGGAACCGTGCAAGCTTGGTACAACTTACTTCCGGTGAAGGTGCTAGCAGCGACACACCAGGCGTCGTTGGCCGCAGGGCAGCCCCTATCAAAACATCGTCAGCTCGTACAAGCATAATTGACTCGAAATGCGCCATCACTTACTCCTGAGCGTTGTTGGGCGCCCAGTTCAGCAGGGGCTGGAAGAGATCCGTGCTGTCGTCGCTCAAGGACTGGGAGATGCCAACCCAGATCGACATCCAAGGCTGGGCAGTCTTGTCCGCAACAACGGTTCCGCAGGGGATGGAAGGAGGGACCAGAGTGTAGGTGGCCTTGGCGATCGCGTTGCTGGCGGGGCCGAGGTTGAACATGTTGCCGAACTTCCAGTCATCGTACTTGCCTCGCACAGCGAGGGCACCGGCGGCGGCAGCAAGAGAAGAAGAACGCATCTTGGCTTGGTTTCAAACAAACAAAAGAGTGAATAAAAAGTTGGTTGGTTATTGAAGCAATGTCTTGAAAGAGAGTGAGCCAAGAAAGCCAAGACTGATGGTTGCACTCAAATGCTTATATTCTTTTCAGCGGCATGTTCTAACTACCTATTTCGACGATCCGTCGTACAGGCTGGGGCAATTCTCGCCGGCCATAAATTGAAGGGGTTGTCGCTGGGTTAAAGCGGGCTGTCGTTGCAAACAAACGACGCTCCTCGGCTAGGGGCCGAGTTGCGCTGATCGTTTAATTGGGTTCTGGATAAGACGGCACGTCCCAGGGCTGAGGGTTAACCCGCGAATCGAAGCTGTTGGCGTTCGATTCTTCGTTTTAGGGGGTGCCTTGTTCAGGAATCCGGCTAACTTGCCAGTTTAGCGTCCGGTCGCACGGTCGCATATCTATCTACGACTCGCTTCGGTCTCGTTATCACCTCACTGCGGTCTCTTGCGATCTCGTTCACGGGCTTCTCCAAGCGAATAAGATCTAGTCAGCTGAGGGCCGTCTTAACAAATAAGACTTCGGTCTTTCGCTGGATCGCCAGTTTGACGACCCTTGTACCATCGTCACTCTCAGTTGACATTATCGGGGAAATACTAGCCGGCCTCGTTCGATTCATCTATCATCCCACCGGGCCCATTTAACCAGATTCTCGGGGCGCTGAAAGAACCGGTGAATCTCTAATCTTCTTTTAGAATTCTGAAGGCTACTTTTAATCCCATTCGGTTCCATCCGTTCCATCGATCCCATCAAGTTGCCCCCCACTTCCCGCGGTCATCTCCCTTCTTGACACCAGCTCGGAAACCAACCTGCGGTTTATTCCAACCTCCCTGCAAAGTGACCCTGCTATGTCGACTATTCACTCTCATCAATGACTTCTCCCCAGGGACTTGCCTCTTTTCCGTACACGATGCTCTCCAATTTCTCCTTTAACAATGGAACATGCGGCACTTTGCCCAAGGGTAAACGAATCGTTCGCCCATCAAACATGATCTCAGCCACCGGCTGAACCCAGGCAGCAGTCCCAACCACGAAGACGGCCACAAGACTCTCGTCGTCGACCGCCCGGACAATATCGGACATGGTAATGTCACTTTCCAACACCTCAACTTTTTCAACGTCCTTATCCGCAGGGCCACCGACGAACATCTTGCGCGACAGTTCGAGGATAGATCTGCGAGTTCCGCCTGCAAGAATAATCTTCCTTTCATCGAGCGGCGGTGTCACCATCTGAAGACCTCCCGTCGAGGTCCTCCAAATGACGAAGACGTTTGCGGATCCGGCTTCAGTAATCTGCCGATCTGGGCCAAAGAGCCAAAGGATCTGGTCATAGCCCAGTCGGCGAGCTTCGCCCTGAGCCTGGATGGTCGGGCCATAGTTGGCAGCCACCTTGGCAGCTCCAGTGCCGCCTGGCCATGCTCGAACAGTTGACTCTGTACTAGCCAGCAACCGAATTCCGTTGTTCGTGTTGTCATCGTTCGGGGCTGTGGTAGGGTTGAGCGACGGCCAGTGAATGAGAAAGA